AGTTCGCCAATTTCTATCTGTCTACGAAAAATTTGAATAATATAATAGTTTCCAAGATATACGAAATTTTGTATTTAATTCATTTATGTAGTGCCAAGTCCCCAATTGAAAGCTCGCCCGTTATTCTCTAAATGTTCACATGAATGTCAGAGTTTTTTATGTAAAATTTTAAGATTCTAGCTCTAGTAGTTTCCAGATATACAATTTTTCTATTTCACTCGTGTGGGGGCTTCAAGCTCCCCAGATGAAAGTCCGATCTTTTTCCTCCAAAATATTCAGATGATTATTGAAGTAATTTCTGCAAAATTTGAAGAATCTAGTTCTATTAGTTTCTCAGATAATCCAAATTTTATATTTAAGTCATATGGGAGTTGTCAAGTTCCCCATTGAAAGTCCGCCCGTTATACTCTAATTGTTCAGATGAATGTCAAAGTTTTTCAAGTAAAATTTGAAGATTCTAGCTCTAATAGTTTCTATGATATATGATTTTTCTAATTAATTCATATGGGGGCTCCACGCCCCCAAAGTCCGCTCGTTTTCCCCCAAAATGTTCAGTTGAATATAAAAGTAATTTATGCAAAATTTGAAGAATCTAGTTCTATTAGTTTCCAAGATAAATTAATTTTTGTATTTAATTAATATGGGAAGTGCCAAGTCCCCCATTTATAGTCCGCCAATTATTCCCTAAATGTTACATTAATGTCAAAGTACTTCATGTAATGTTTAAAGATTCTACATTTAATAGTTTCTCAGACATAAGAATTTTTCTATAAAATTCATGTGGGGGTTTCAAGCCCGCCCTTTTTTCTCCAAAATGTTTAGATGAATATTAAAGTAATTTGTGCAAAATTTGAAGAATCTAGTTCTATTAGTTACCCAGATAAACGAAATTTTGTATTTTATTAATATGGGAGGTACCAAGTCCCCCATTGAAAGTCCGCCCGTTATACTTTAATTATTCAGATGAATGTCAAAGTTCTTCAAGTAAAATTTGAAGATTCTAGCTCTAATAGTTTCTCAGATATACGAATTTTTCTATTTAATTCATATGGGGGCTCTAAGCCCCCCCCCCCCAGATGGAAGTCCGATCTTTTTCATCCAAAATGTTCAGACGAATATTTAAGTTCTTAGTGCAAAAGTTGAAGAATTTAGTTCTATTAGTTTCCCAGATAAACGAATTTTTGTATTTAATTAATATGGGAGGTGCCGCTCCCCTCATGGGTAGTCCGCCAATTTATTTCCCAAAATGTTAACATGGATGTTAAAGTTATTTGTGCAAAATTTTAAGATTTTAACTGTAATTGTTTCTAAGATAAACGAATTTTTGTTTTTAATTTATATGGGAGGTGCCACGCCCCTAATGCTAGTCCGCCTACTTTTTGTCCTAAATAATCATATTGACACTAAAGTGGCTCCGACAAAATTTGAGGACTCTAACTGTTATATTATCTCAAATATACGGATTTAATATTTTCTAATATGGCGTGGCACCTCGCCCACTTGAAATTTCAAAATAAAAAGTAGCCTATTACCTATTCCAGACATACAGGAATATGCTGTGAAAATTTCAAGAAAATCGGTTCTGCAGTTTTGTAGTCTATAACGTTCAAACATACAAACAAACACACATTCATTTTTATATATATAGATCTAATGGTAACCACTACAGCTAATTATACATTTTGCACAGTATTTGAGATAAGACAAATACTGTAACAATTATAAATGTTAAATTCTGTTTTAGATGTTAATGACTTCAATGTATATAATTTCAATGCACAGAGCCTAGTCCCGAAAAATAGATTTACAAAATTTCGCTATATTAGGCATATGTTTGAGTGTAGTAATTACGATGTTATTGGAGTTACTGAGACTTGGCTAAGGAGCAATGTGTCTAACGGGTCAATATATATAAACGGATGTAATGTTTTAAGAAATGATAGATTTTGGTCAAGAGGGGGTGGTATTTGTTTGTATGTCTCAAATATATATAAAGTACGAGTTGTTAGTGACTTTTTCGATGAGGGTATAGTTGAAACTTTGTTTGTTGAAATATCTATGAATGATTTAAAGCTATTGGTAGGAATTGTATATTTGCCTCATGGAAATTTTTCAAGCTGCGTTGATATTATAATGGATATATCTAGCAGATACAATGATTGTATTATAATTGGTGATTTTAATACTAATCTTTTTACGAAATCCAATATAGTAAGGGATTTTGGTCTTTTTCTAATTTATACGTTATACATAACTGCTTATCTACTCACATAAATGAGTTTCACAATTCGTCCTCCTTAATTGATTATTTTTTTGTATCCAATATTAACTGTGTGACCCATAAAGCTCAATACCTGTTTCCTGCACTTAATTATGCACATGTTATTATATCTCTTTCATATAGGGTCACTGTTGCCAATTTAGCTATTTTCTCGTCAAATTTAGCGATTTTTAATCCCATTTTGCGGGGAAAAATATGATTTAGCTATAAGCGGGAAATCTAGCGATTTTTCTTTAGATTTTAAGGCATTTTTTATCTATCTATATATATAAAAATGAATGTGTGTTTGTTTGTATGTTTGTATGTTTGAACGTTATAGACTACTAAACGGCTGAACCGATTTTCTTGAAATTTTCACAGCATATTCCTGCATGTCTGGAATAGGTAATAGGCTACTTTTGATTTCGAAATTTCAAGTGGGCGATGAGCCACGCCCACATTAAGAAAATATAAAATCCGTATATTTTAGATAATATAACAGTTAGAGTCCTCAAATTTTGTCGGAGCCACTTTAGTGTCAATATGATCATTTAGGACAAAAAGTAGGCGGACTAGCATTAGGGGGCGTGGTACCTCCCATATAAATTAAATACAAAAATTCGTTTATCTGGGAAACTAATAGAACTAAATTCTTAAAATTTAGCACGAAGAACTTTAACATCCATATAAACATTTTGGGTAATAAATTGGCGGACTACCCATGAGGGGAGCGGCACCTCCCATATTAATTAAATACAAAAATTCGTTTATCTGGGAAACTAATAGAACTAAATTCTTAAAATTTTGCAGAAAGAACTTTAACATCCATATAAACATTTTGGGTAAAAAATTGGCGGACTACCCATGAGGGGAGCGGCACCTCCCATATTAATTAAAAACAAAAATTCGTTTATCTGGGAAACTAATAGAACTAAATTCTTAAAATTTTGCACGAAGAACTTTAATATTCATCTGAACATTTTTAAGGAAAAAAGAGCGGACTTTCATCTGGGGGGCTTGGAGCCCCCATATGAATAAAATAGAAAAATTCGTATATCTGAGAAACAATTAGAGCTAGAATCATTAATTTTACTTGAAGAACTTTGACATTCACCTGAACATTTAGAATATAACGGGCGGACTTCCAATGGGTTACTTGGTACCTCCCATATGAATTAAATACAAAATTTCGTTTAACTGGGAAACTAATAGAACTAGATTCTTCAAATTTTGCAGAAATTACTTCAATAATCATCTGAATATTTTGGAGGAAAAAGGGCGGACTTTCATCCGGGGGGCTTGAAGCCCCCACATGAATTAAATTCGTATATCTGAGAAACTATTAGAGCTAGAATCTTAAAATTTTACATGAAGAACTTTGACATTCATGTGAACATTTAGAGAATAACGGGCGGACTTTCAATGGGGGGCTTGGCACCACATATATGAATTAAATACAAAATTTCGTGCATCTTGGAAACTCTTATATTATTAAAATTTTTTGTAGATAGATAGAAATTGGCGATAGATAGAAACTGGCGAACTTGCAATAATTTGCTTGACATCTTTTATATGTAACATATAATAAATCTGGTATTTATTTATACATATTCCTTTTAGGGTAGCAAAGCACACTGTGTATAGCTAGTTAAATATAAAATTTCCAACAACTATTAAACAATAATAACTTTAGACGCATATGTTATTTCAGTATATTTATTTCAAAATAATTTATTGAGCTTTTATGTTTAAGTATTTTGCAAAATTACAAATTTATAAAAATAAACAAATTATTATAAATATTTAAATGTATATTTCATGTGAAAGAGCAAAATTAATAAATAAATTAAATATTTGTAAAGTAAAATACAAAATTATGATCAAATCAATCAAAAAAAAATTATAAAAATATGAAACAAAGATATAATTTTAAATTGAGAATGCAAAATTATTTAATAATAAAAGAACACAAACACAAGAAAATTTAATATGTATATTATTAGTATAAAGTAGGCAAATACAAAAAATGTGACTAAACTTTAAAACTTAAGAAATTAAGAAATTTACTTCTTTCTTCTTCTTTTTATTTTTGCCCTGAGCATTGGGTTCGGGAGCACCAGTTAAAGTGGTCAATTCCTTTTTAAGAGCCAAAAGAATCTCAACTTCTGGCTTCCAAACGGAAGCATCAGAAGAAGCTTTTAAAGTGCGTACTTTTTCAGCTTGTTTGGCATCAATCTTATCTTCTACTTCCTTTACCTTTTTGGGATCAACCGAGGCTGGAGATGAAGTGGTGGTTGCAGCAGTAGTGGTGGGCAGAGGCTTGAGCTTGAGCTTCAGCTAATTGCTTTTTCAAACTAAAAGCTTATTAACTTCTGTTGCCAAACGGCTTGTCTTTTGTTGATGCCTAGTCGTTGACGTACTTTATCACCCTGTGCCTGTATGGCAGCTCAAGATCTTTTACACTTTTGGGGTGCAGCACCATTTTGTTTAGTTTCAGCTGACTGCTTACGTTGTGCCTCGGTTAGTTGTTTCTTCAAATCTAAAGTTTATTTACTTCTGGTTGCCATACGGCTTTGTCTTTTGTGGAGGCTTTAAGTTGTCTTACTTTATCACCTTGCCTCCTGAATAGCCTTTTCCAAATCAGCTATGTTTGCTGAGCTGGTCTGCGAATCGCCAGAACCTAGGACCTGAGGACCAGCATACTTCTTTTTCATTCATCAATGTGAAGCTTTGTTCCAATTTAGCGAACAATGGTGCTGGTTTTGCCGATCTTGTGGCCGGGATGGTAACAAAATTGAGGTAAATGGTTTCTAAAAGAATATTAAATTGAATTTTAAAAATTTGTTAATAATAAATTATTGTTATATTTAAAACTGTACACTTACTCAACATTCAACTGTGTCTGCTTAGCATTCAATTGTTCGAACATAGTTCTAGCCGTTGTTGGCATGTAGGGGAAGATAAGATGGCCAAAGGCAAGCAATATTACAGCACATACCAATAATTGTAGCAGCTCTAGACTTTTGTTCATCGTTGCCCTTAAGTAAAACCCAGGGCTGTTGTGATTGCATGTAACCGTTGCCATGGCGAGAGATCGAAAGCATATGTCTGATGCCATCACGTAACGAGCCTTCTCCAAGAGTTGACATAACCGCGTAAACTCACGATTAATTAGAGCCAGCAAACATGCTCGTCATTGGTGAGATTCATGGCGGGTACTACACCATTAAAGTTCTTTTCACAGAAGGACTAAGGCACGATTTACAAAGTTGCCCAAATTGTTAAGTAACTCAGAATTATTGCGGGCTGCCAAATCATTCCAACTGAAGCTAGAGTCCTGACCTTCTGGACGGGCTGAAGCCAAATAGAAACGCCAAACATCAGCGGGAATACCAGTGTCCTAAATAAAGGGACAAAATTTAGACTTTTGTAGGTTTTTACCTTTGTTTATAATCTTACCTGAGCATCATTGCCAAGACACCAATACCACGACTTTTACTGAATTTGCCGTCCTCATAATTTAAATACTCAGTTGCCATAATGTGAGATGCCAAAGTGTTGCCCTTGTTAATAGCCAACAAAGCACTAGGCCAAACAACCGAATGGAAGGGTACATTATCTTTAGCCATAAATTGGAAGAGTTCAACTTCCACACCCTTTTCGGGTTGCCACCATTGTTTGAATTCCTTGGAGTAACGTTTGGTCATAGAAACATAGCCGAATGGTGCATCGAACCAGACATAAAATACTTTATTTTCAAACCTTTGTGAGGTACTGGAATACCCCATTTCAGATCACGTGTGATACAACGAGGCTTCAAGCCCTCACGTAGCCAAGCACGTGTTATAACACGAGCATTATTCGTCCAACCATTTTCAGAATGATCAACCCATTCACGAAGTTTGTTTTCGATTTTCGGTAAGTCAAGGAACAATTGGTCGGAGGATCTGACAACTGGTGCTGTGTTGCACACTTTACAGCGGGGACGTATAAGTTCGGTAGCATTAACTAGCTTGCCACACTTGTCACATTGATCACCACGAGCATCCTCGTAGCCACAGCCAGGATGTGGGCAAGTACCCTCAACAAAACTAGAAATTAACAAATTATTATCTACTAAACTTTAACTAAGTGCTAGCGAAACTCTTACCGATCGGCCAAGAAACGATCACACTTCTGACACAATAATTGTTCTACACTTTCAGTTAAGATATAACCATTATCGTAGACATCTTTAAAGGCTTCTTGTACAATTCTAATGAAATATGTTAAATTAATTTTAAGTTAATATCTTTGTTGTTTGTTTGTTTACTTACTCTGTTTGTTCTTGAGTTGTGGTACGACCGAAGTAATCAAAACCAATGCCAAACCAACGATAGATCGCATTGTGTAGTTCAAAGTATTTGTCACAAATTTCACGAGGTGTGAGATTTTCAGCAAGTGCTTTATTTTCGGTAGCTGTACCATACTCATCAGTACCTGATATATAGAGAGTGTTGTAGCCAGCTGCACGTGAGTATCTGCAAAGAATGCCATTTATTGTAATATTTTTATTGTTCATTATTGAATCTTTATTTATACAAATTTATAAATATGTAAATCACTTACCTTGCAAAAATATCAGCGGATAATACACAACCAATAATGTTGCCCAAATGTGGTACATTATTGACATAGGGGAGAGCAGAGGTGACCAGCACATTACGCTCACCAGCTTTAGGAAGAACTGTACGTGGTTCCTTACGCTCTGCCGCGGGGGCATATACAAAGTGAGTGCTGGCCAAATTGAGTTCTTCCTCAGTAATGGTATCAGCCAAAGTAGAACCAGTATCAGCCAATAGATTGCCAGCTTCAGATAATGATGCAGGCATTTTGAGAGGAACATGATAGAGACCTCCGTAAAGATTAGAGTTTTGTAAAGCATTAAAAGTTAAATCTTTTAAAGGTTGTTTTTCTAACACTGATTTAATTTCAGGCATGGCGCTAATTTTACGATACCACACGAGAAGATGTTCAATTTGCTGAGCGCCTTTTAATGTACCATCGGGAGCCAGCAAAGACCAAACTGAAAGATCAGCTGCTGTCAATTTATCACCAGCTAAAAATGGTGTTTTTGATAAATTATCTTCCAGCTTCTTAACCAAAGCATTAAGTACAGGAAGAGCATTCGGATTAGCACGATGACCATGACCCATATGATGCACTAACGCAGGAGCCAATGAAGTAGAAGACCATTCAAGCCACTGTTTAATATAGGGAAAATTCAATTAAAATAACCTTGAACAAGGTCAATATATTTGGAATTCTAAACATTATTTTAAATTCCTAATACAATTTCAACCATATGTACAACTAACCTCATCCCTTAATTGTCCCTCATTGGGAAAGAAATATTTAGCCACCGCATCTGTCGAAAATAGTCTTAGACCATTATCCAATTCTAAAGTTGGTAAAACCAATAAGTCTTTAGATTTAATATCTGCAATAGAAATTCAATATTTCGTCATACAGTCACTTTAAATACATCATAGTTCTTGGAGTATTTTAAAGAAATTTAAATAATGGTTCACACCCGCCTCACCCCCCTGCATTATTGCTTACAACAGACCATGTAGCACTACTACTTACGCACCATTTAGGTTAACTTTTTCCACCGACACCTCACGTTTTGCAAATTTGGCCAGGATTTGTAATTTCAGGCCAAGGGGATTGCCCTCGTTTGTATAGATTTTCATTTTCGCTTTATGTTGGTCTCTGACTAAAACTACGAGTTTTATTAATTAAATTTAATAAATAACGTGGCAAAAGGGTTAAAATGTCTTCGTATTTATTTTTCACCAACTGCAATTTTTTTCCTAATTAGACACACAAAAAAATTCTAATTGAAAAATGTCAAGAAAATGTGTAACAAAAGAGAATGTCAAAAATTATTAACAGTGAAGTCATTCAAGCGATTTTTAACGCAGAATTCAGCGATTTTTTTAATTTTTGTAGCAGAAATAATTATTTTATAGCACATTACCATTAAAGGGTGCTTTACATTATGTAAATTTATATTAATACAAAGTATTATGTATTTGAAAATGTATTGTAATAATCCATAATTTTAATCTTAAGCCATTTATAATTGAAAAGGCGTTAAAAACTTCAAAATAATTAATCCTTCAAAAATAATTAATTCCTTTTAAACGTAAAATTTTTACTGTTAATACGCCATTTACAGTACAGCGAAATCTCGTAGATTGTATATCAAATCTTGTACAAAATCTATTTCTTTTAATTTTTTATGAATAAAAAAGAAAACAAATACTTTACCAAATTCTTTTTACTACCAAAAAAATAGAGAAATATACAGAATATTATTTAGTATTGAACATATTGTTAAAAATTCGGCATTATAGTTTACTTACAATACACTTTTCATTCACGTTTTTCCTATAATAGAAAATTTTCTTAAAAATTTATCTTTTTGCATTTTTTATTTGTTTTGTTTCAAATTTAATTTTTCTTCTACAGCGTCATAGTTTTTGTACTTTTTTTGCAAAAACATAGTTGCGTATCCATTTCAACTATATTTTGAACAGATTTTGGCGAAATCGACTTAGGAATTGGTTTGTTTTTGTATTGGATATCTAATAAAAATCAAATATTTGCTTTGTATTGGATATCTAATAAAAATCTAATATTTGCTCGAAATCTCATAAGTACTAGTGAATGGGATATTCGTTTCAACTTAGTCTCTAACAATTTAAATTTAAACATTTTCAACCGTACTTTTGGACATTTTGCAAAATACAAAGATTCCAAATCTACTAAATTAATTGCATTCAAATAATTAATTTAAGAAATAATTGTGCTTAAATTTTCAATCAGTTGAATGTTAAGTTTATCTAAATCTGCTGTATATGAAATTTTAGTTTCCATTTAAAGAAGTTAAATAATAATCAAAAAATTATCGTTTTTATTTAAATAAGATTTTCTAAGTAATTAATTGAAATCGTTTTTATATAATATAAATCGAATTTTTTAATTGTAGATTAGCTGGCTCTAAATTATTTTCTTTTTTGTTTTTTGTTTAAAAGGCGGTTCCATATAAATTTAAAATTTATAAACGTTAGGAGTTAATGTGTAAAATTATACAAGTTAATTTTTTTTAATTTAAAATTCATTTTTACAATCGAGCCTATTAGTTTGGCCATATTATTATTAATTTTAATTATAGAAATTTTTAACTTCGATAAAAGTGCTACCAAATCAAAAATAAAAATACAAGTATGAGTGTGTGGATGTCAAATAATAACAAATTATTTTAAAATAAAATTGAAAAAAATAAGATAATACAATTTTCCAAGAAATTCTAAATAATTTCAAAATTTGACTGATTTTTTCTGTGATAATGCCAAGTTAATACTCAATGATAGTGACAAAACATTATTAAAAACATAAAATATATACATGCTATAAAAATGTAGTAAAATGGAAAACTTATATTGGTTCTACCGTAAATTTCTTCAAATCAATCTGGCATCCTTGTGTCTTAAAAAACAGCTGTGCTTTGTTTTCAAACAAACGTTTGACAAGAACAATTGGAGTTTTTTTACTTTGTAAATTCATTTTAATTTATTTTTCTAAAAAAAGCCGCAAATTTTTTAAACAAAATGGGTGAACGCAAAGGACAAAATAAATACTATCCGCCTGATTATGATCCAAAAAAAGGAGGTCTCAATAAATTCCGTGGCACGCACGCTTTGCGGGAACGGGCAAGGAAAATCCACTTGGGCATAATAATCATTAGATTTGAAATGCCCTACAATATTTGGTGTGATGGCTGTAAGAATCACATAGGAATGGGTGTTCGTTATAATGCGGAAAAGACCAAAGTGGGCATGTACTATTCCACTCCCATCTATAAGTTTCGCATGAAATGTCATTTATGTGACAATCACTTTGAAATACAAACTGATCCTGGAAATTTAGACTATGTGATATTATCAGGTGCTAGAAGGCAGGAAAATCGTTGGGATCCTACACAAAATGAACAAGTTGTGCCAGAAACAAAAGAAGTACAAAAACGTTTATTCGACGATGCCATGTACAAGTTGGAACATCAAGCAAAGGATCAAAAGGCAGGAGATCAGGCGAAGCCAGTTTTGGAAAAGCTAATGGAAAGGAATAAGACAGTATGGAGTGATTGTTACGAAGCCAATTGTAAATTAAGAGCAGAATTCAGGGTAAGTTTTAGAACTTAAACATAACTAGATACGTAGGTAGGTATATAGTTAAATAATATTTTCTACATTATTTCAGACTAAGAAATCCGAATTGAAAGCCTTGAAAGAACTTGATGACAAACTATTGGCTAAAAGTAGTCTGGACATAGCACTTTTGCCCGAAACTCAACAGGATCGTCAGATGGCTGCTCTAATGAAACTGCAAAGTAAAACTGCCCAGGAAAGAGAGGAAGAAAAACGCATCGACATATTGCTACAACCAACACTACCAGGAGCAACACAAACTACTTTTGGTGGTCTTAAACGTCAAAAAGCCTTAAGTTCTCATCTGGATTACAAACAATTGGGAATCAAAAGAAAACTAAATGAAAGCGAAAGTAGTAATACAACTAAAAGTAGCACGGATATCGAAGGGAAATGTAGTGGTAAAGGGGAGGAATCAATTGAAGATATAAATAAAGCAAAATTAGATAATCCAACAACGTCTACAAATGTCCCTAATGCTTGTTTAGTAGATTTGCCCAAAAGCTTAGCATTAGTTTGTGACTATGCCAGTTCCAATTCTTCAACAGCATCTCAATCCTCAGGTCCCTCAGACAATGAAGAAAGCTAAATACTAGTATTTAATTAGAATTTTATTACATGTATAAATATCATAATACATAATAGTTTTAAGTAGAAAATAATAAAGGTTTTATAAATCGGCTGTTTCAGCAGCATAAGCTTCAGCACCCTCTTCTTCATCGCCAGGGGGAGCATTATCATCGACAGCATATAGTATGGCTAACGCACGATTACACCAATCAACGTAGACTTCATTTTTTATGGATTCGTGAAGACTGAAAAGCAAAAACTACATTTATTAAAACGATTATATTTCAAAGTTTTTAATATGTTTAAAAAAGTCTGAACACTGCAATTATATTGCAAAAATGAGTTTAAAATTTCTATCAACACGTGCTGTAATACAAAGCCTGTTCGGAAATGCATCACTGCGCTGCATCTGATGCGTAGTACATTCGCAAATGCATCACAGACTGATGCGATAATTGAGTAGGTATTTAGATTTTCATTTGTTTTATGAACTTTGTTTTCATTTACGTGTATATATATATAAAATGAGCATCACAAACTAATCATCAGATAAAGCGCAGTGATGTAGTTCCGATCAGGCCCACAAATCATGTTTTAAACTCTAGGCAGTTCTATTTATTGTGTGCTATGTGGTAAATACAAATTGAATTCAACCTTTTTTAGCTTGGAATACAAAATACGCCCCTCAAAACAAGTATGTTCCTATATACATATTTATGTATGTACATACGTATGTATGTATCTGTATTTTAACAGAACTCGGCAGTTTGACAAAGAGTTAATGCTTCCGAAAAATATAGTCATTTCCACTAACGTTTAACCAACTGGTTTGCTCAATTTCGTCACAAATGTACTTTGTAAACGAAAGTGAAGACGGTCGCCACTATACAATTCCCAAGAGTGGAAAATTTATGCAAAAAGGATCATTTCCTGGCATTAACTCCTTTGTTTTACGATGTCTTTTTTTAAAACTACTCATTAAGCATTGGCAATTCTTTAAAAAAACCTATAAACTTACATGGCTTCAATTTCAGTAAGTTTTTTATAGTAGGTATTCCGCTCCTGTTCTATACTCAAGGTTTGTTTGTTCAATTCTTCCTTTGTCTCCTGCAACACACGTAGACTTGAAGGCGAAACCATTCTTTCGTCATGCTGTTGACCACTTTTGGGTGTTTTCAAAATCTCTGACGATTTAGTGGTGGCAGACTTTGACGTTGCTCCAGCGCCTCCCAATGGTTGTGTACCTGGTTTTCTTATAGGCTTAGGGGCATTATGTGTTGCTGCCGCCAAGGCAGCTGGCACTTTCAAATTCTCTTTACCGGCCGAATGTGTATCGAAAAATTTCTTAAACCATTGTAAGAACTCAAAATTATCTTGAAATTTTCCCTTGATTAAACGATCAATTGGTACGGATTTATCGAAATTGAGTTTTATAAAGGCAGCCTGGAAAAGCTTTAAGTTGTGTAGAAATTCATGTTCCAACTTGGCATTGCATTTGATTTTTTTCAAACCCACTGTATTGGGAAACAAAAGTTCCATCATTTGGCAATATGCCACTCCTAGAAGAGTAAAAAAAATGCCAGTTGCAACTAAGAATTTATGTGTTTATAAAAATAGAAAACTTACCAGAGCACAGCTCTTCAATTTTTTTATATTGTCCATGAACGGTGCTATTGACCCATTCCAACATGTCGTGACGAGACATTTTCTCTGCCGTAGCACTAGTAAGTGTAACAGTTGTCTTTAAATCTGGCATGATTATAATATGTTTGTTTAATCTATTATTAATATTTCGTTCTCTTTGTTTTAAACTTGCAATTTCTTTTAATTGTTGAATAAAATATGAGTGATTCTTCTTTTGGGTTTTGTTAATGCGGTCGCGAATAAATAGCAAATGAATGTAACGGTATCGCGGACAAATGAATGCAAACTTTTGTTAATATTGATTTTTATTAATACTTAATTTGTTGTTATTATTGAGCTGCTGATAACTATTGTGGTTTTATTCAGCTCTCTTACGATTAGAGACAAGAGTGCGTAATTCCTTTTCCACTGCCGCTAATTTCTATAAATGTCCAATTTGTACATGCAGTATGCAAATGATCGAGTTTCTGTTCTCTTGACTCTATCACTTGTTTTAAATATTTTTGTAATTGTTTATTTTTATAGTCTTTTTCTAACAGTTATTAATACTTTTACTATTACTTTATTATAATTGGTTATTTATTAAAAATTTACTTTTCTTTTTTAACCAAAAAGGAAATAGAGTGGTAATTCTTCAAATAATATTTCTTGAAGTTCCCATTGTGTATTTATTTAAAATGCATTCTATTTATATTAAAATGATTTGTTTTAATAAAATGTTAGCAATTTAAGTAAAAATTTTGATATTTTCACTACTTAATCAGTGCAAATTATAAAGGATCTTACGAATGCCAAGTGAACAACAAATAATCTTCTAACTCTGAAGGTTATTATGCCCGCCAAAAGTACAACAACAAAATTGAGTGATAAACAAGCGATTTTTTTAAAATATTGAGTACTTCCAACGTCTCATTGCCAATGAGACAATTATTATTATTTAGAAAACTAACACAGATTCGTTTGGAGTTTCTTCAAAAAGTAGATGATATTTATACTATTTGCCCGATATAATATGAATAACGATTTCTGCGAATTTGCATTTGGCGAGGTAAGGCCGCTTATCAAAAGCTGATCCCGTCAACAATTTAGGTGCAAAAAATAGCTGCCACAAGAAATTACTAGCCAAGATATGACTTCATGTTCCGTGCGTAATATTGAGACATATTCATCTGATACAAAACATACCCATTCTTGGTCCTAATAAATTTTGATTCGATTAAGCTACATCGATTCTGTCTAAATAAGCTCTCGTTAGAACGAAATTAATGAAATTCAGTCAAAATATTAATTATTTTACTAGGCAATTTTGTATAGACATCGGTTCACTATATAAAAAGTTATGAACCAAATTAAAAAAAAAAACTCAATTGCAAATTCTCAAAATTGGACTTTATATGGAAGCTATGAGGAATTGTGGGCCGATCCGGAAACTCTTTCGATTTGTATATAAGCAACATATATTCAAGTCGCATTTTGTCCCAATTGACTTATTTACGATTAAGCGATTTTCGGAAGAGATTTTTATATACACATGATTGTTTAATTGATTTTCGGAAGTGGAAGCTGTGTTCCGATCCAGGTTTCAGTTGATAATACAACTTCTATTGATATCAGATTTATATATACATGGTATGTAATACCAGTATTCTAGAGGGAGTTATTAACAACTAATCTCTTTACAGGGAGTATGTAAATTTGATGATTTTGAATAGGAAACTTCTCAAAGGATGTCTGATAGAGATCAATATTTTTAATCGCAGGTAGGGAACTGAGGAAATTTTTTGTTTTTTCTATTTTTCTCTTATTTAGTATAATAAAACGCATCGTTTGAGAGGTATTCCTCCAAAAAAGTGGTCCACAGGACACCCTAATGTACATATATAGCTTATTGTAGTAATAACAAACGGAATGACAAATTTATACATAAAGGTTAAGTATCCGACCGATCTTATCGGTCGATTAAGAATTTAAAATTTTGAGTAAATTGTTTATTTACAAAAACTATAAAATGCAATAACAAATATTAAACTTATTTAGATTAAATAATTAACTTGTTTCTAATTCTCTTTTGTAATTAGAAATTTTCTTAACCTTTTCCACCTTCTTAACAAAACTTATAAAGTCCTCGTATAAGGTGGTTGGCAACTCCATGGCGGCAAAATGACCACCTTCGTTGTGGTAAGTACTATGAATTAAATTGGGATATTTATCCTTTAATTGGAAATCTAAAAAATGCATTAAATCATTTTTGAAACGAGCACAACCCGTTAACACATTAGTGGGTACACGTTCCAATTGTAAGGCCCTCTGTTCCGGTGCATAATGTTCCTTGTAAATACGTTGAGATGTAGTAATGGAATTAGTTAAATGATAAATCATAATGTTATCCAGAAGAGCATCTAGTTTAAAGCGTTTCTTAAGACCACCATCGGATGAACTACGATATGAAGGATTTGTCCAGGTGGAGAATTTTTCAAGTATATAAGCGGCCAAACCTACGGGATTATCTTGTAAAGCTGTGCCTATAGTATCGGGTTTGGTCGATTGTAAATGCATATAACCAGTTTCTTCCATTATAAATTGAAGTTTTTCCGACATGGGGAAAAAGAAGTTTTCGTGACCTTTGGGTGCAAAGAAACTAAATAGACTGGCAACGGCACCTTTTATCATAGCTTTGGGTGTCAATGCTGTACATAAGTTGGAGTGATAGCCAAGAACATTTTCCGGGAATAATGTGGCAATGTGTGAACCAATTACTGAACCCCAGTCACCACCTTGTATGAAAAACTTTTTATAGCCAAGACGTAACATTAGATTACGCATCATAACTGCCATTTGAGCGGGACCCAAGCCCTTTTTCGAAGTACCCTGTAAATTAAAAGTGTACAAATTAAATAATTATTTCATAAAAATTTATAATACTTTTTAGATAAGTTGAATTATTTTAAAATTATTAAAAGTTAAAATCCGAAATAAAATTCTTTTGAAAATTCCTGAAAAGGGGTGTATCAAAGTCAGTTAAGCGTTCTTATAAGTCTAATATTTTAGAGATTATTTATAAGCGTTATTCGAAAAAAAACATTAAATTTTCCATTGTTTGGATCAGAAACGCTTTGCTATTTTTCATCCTATCTATTTTTATATACAAATTCTCTGCGATTTCAAGACCTATTTTATAGACTTACTCACCTGAGACCAAGCATAACCGGGCAAACTGGGCACTATGACATTGAAAATGTACTTATTATTTTTGTCTTTTTTCGTTTGATGCAGTTTGTGAATTAAACTGTAGAATTCACGTACGGAACCAGGCCAACCATGTAACAATAGGACCGGGTAATGATGTCTATCTACGGTGTATTCATCGTAAACCATTAAATGTAGAAAATGCATACGTAAACTAAAATAGAAAATGAGAATTATTTTGATATGATTTGTTTTTGTCGTAAATTTTAGGTGATTTGATAAGAATAAGTATGATGATAGTGAAAAGGTTTAATATTTTGTATTCTATTGATAATAATTAAAGAAAATTATGTACCCTTGTATATCGGTGGTAAAATGATTAAATTGCCAAAGAAACACTTCACGTTCACGCCAACGCGGCAAATAATCATCTCGCCAATATTCAATAATTTCTTTCAATTGTTTCGTATTGAATCCATATTCGAATGTAACACCTTCCAGGGGTTCCGTCAATTGTAATGAGCGATTCAGTTGAGCTTTTAAATCATCAATGGTCTATAATTTTCATAAGAATTAGTTGAAGTTGAATAAGTTGAAGTTGTGATAAAGTAAAACGTTATTTACCAAATCGGCATAGAGTAATTTATTGCCAATGACCTCGGATGAGTTGGCCAAATAGGCCTGCCAATCTTTGGGTTCAGCTTCATCGCCCCACCATTGATTAAGTGGTAAATTGGGCACTGGGGCATCGCCCATTAGTTCATTTACTTTTTTATACAACATACCGCCGACTACGGCCAGTATGAGTATTAAAATTCTTGTAATTGGTGACATTTTTGTCGTTTAGACAAAAAAGTGTCTCGAGTTACTTTAAAATTAAAACAGATATTTGTCCAACTAATTATTTTTACCGGGAGTGAACGCGTGCCAGCTATTTGTTACAGGTGTTATAGTCAACTATTTATTATTATTAGAATCACAAAATATTTGCTGTGATTGTCGTTTATTGTGTTCTATTCGTCATTAATGTGGTACCCTACATCATTAGATAGGTAAAATGATTTTGGGGATATTTTTGTAATAATTCCAACTTTGTTTGTTTAATAGAAAGTGTATTTTGTAGATTTTACTTTCAATGATCCACGGATTCGTATTATCCAATAAAACTTAAGTTTCCACGGTTTGACTGCAAATTGATTCACCCTTCTTAAATTCAGAAAATTTTCATCTGATTTGATCACAAATCAATCTATGCACAATATATTCTAAATTTTTGACCCATAGACCAAACAATACTTTTCTAAAGATTAAGTTTCAGCGCTATTCTATCATTTAAAAATGTATATTCTGGTCTCTGGGTTAAAACTTTTTTCAAATCTTTTATAGGGTGACCACATTTCGATTCCATTCGAATGCAATCTAATTTGAATTTTGTTTTCTGTATTAAATAATATTCTCGTAGAGGTAGTAGAATAAGCACTACCACATTAACTACTTCTGGACGTATTTGTTATCGCATGATAACTGCACTAAACCATAAACGATCGCAACACGATCATATTTTTCGTTATTGTCATGTCAGTGTGTATATGTATGTATGTATTTCTACAATAAACATCTATAAATATGTATTAATAAATATTTATATTTAATACTCGTATTATTGTTGTGTATTGTTTGTTAAATGTGTACCTAAATATTTACTATCTACCGGCTAATTATACCCTACACCACTTTAGTGGGGAGGGTATATTGGGTTTGTGCTGATGTTTGTAACGCACAATAATATTGGTCCTATACCCACCTGAAAGTATACCAATCGGCTCAGAATTATTTTCTGAGTCGATTTAGCTATGTCCGTCCGTCTGTCCGTCCGTCCATGTAAACCTTGTAATCAAACTACAGGTCGCAATTTTGAAGATAATTCAATGAAATTTGGTACATGATCTTCTATTGTCCCAGGGACGAAGCCTATTGAAAATGGTTAAGATCGGTCCATTATTTCACCTAGCCCCCATACAACTGAACCCCCCAATAGGACTTGTAATCCTTGTAATCAAACTACAGGTCGCAATTTTGGAGATAATTCAATGAAATTTTGGAGATAATTCAATGAAATATAGTATCGTAGACGAAGCCTATTGAAAATGGTTAACATCGGTCCATTATTTCACCTAGCCCCCATACAACTGAACCCCTCGAATAGGGCTTTTAAAACTTGTAATCAAACTACAGGTCGCAATTTTGGAGATAATTCAATGAAATTTGGCACATGATCTTTTATGGTATCGTAGACGAAGGCTATTGAAAATGGTTAACATCGGTCCATTATTTCACCTAGCCCCCATACAACTGAACCCCCGAATAGGGCTTTTAAAACTTGTAATCAAACTACAGGTCGCAATTTTGAAGATAATTCAATGAAATTTGGGCTTTTAAAACTTGTAATCAAACTACAGGTCGCAATTTTGGAGATAATTCAATGAAATTTGGCACATGATCTTTTATGGTACTGTAGATGAAGCCTGGTTTACATCGGTCCATTATTTCACCTAGCCCCTAATTATTATGTTTAATATACTCATATCTCGACAAAAAGCTGCAATAACCAAGTTGTATACAAGACTTGATGACCCCCACGAATTCCATAATAATAGGTTCTAATATGACCCTAGCCCCTATGTATAGAAAATTTTCTGTTGATTTTCATAAATTGGAAAGATTTCAGTTAATAAATACTCTTTTATAAAAGTAATACGTTTTATTTAAATTATGCAATTATAGTCGGACAAGGCGGTCCGCATACTACCCTAAACTAGTTATGAGTGTATACTTTGATTTATTTTTCATAACTACCCAAAAAAAAGAACTTCCAAAGAAGCGAAAAAGAAGTAGAATTTACTCCATGGAAGAACTGAAAAAAAAACCAGAAGAAGTGATGATTTTAACACAAGCTTGTCATGTAGGAATGTCCTTTTTATTTGATTCCAAATTCACTACTTCTGAAGTCATTCTCAAGAAGTAGTTTTAATACTATTTTTTTTTTGAAGTTATTCGGAAGTGAAATTTTAGTATAATAGAATACATCTAATTTGACTTAAATAATTCGCTTCTTCGGAAGTCTTTAAACATCACTTCCTCAGAAGGTAAAAAAAACAATTAGTGCTATTTTTGAAGTGGTGATAAATGTTATTCTTTTGGAAGTACTTCGTTTTATTTTTGCTGGGAACATAAATGCTTTATGTTGAATTTTACTTCGGTTTCGATATACATCTTTAAGCAAAGTTTTGATGGAATACTAATTTTCTGAAAGATGGGGTAAGGGGTAAAAATGGACCGATTCGTAAACAATTTGCTAGATGGATTTATGTTACAATTTATTTATGCCGAATTTCGTCGAGACCAAGTGTTTATATGTGAATTGTGGATATTAAAATAATTTTCTGATAAGGGCTTTGTATGGGGTAGGGCCAAATGAATCTTTATTATTCGGCATGATCATCAAGACTTATATTGAACTTACATAGTTTATGTTACAATTTATGTATACTCAATTTCATCGAGAGCAAGTGTTTATATTTCAATTATGTATATTCAAATCATTTTCAGCAAATAGCTTTGCTTGGGGCTAGGATCAAATGAAGCCCTATTATTCGGCATGATCATCAAGACTTGTATTGAACATACATAGTTTTGCCGATTTATCGACATACTAGTATTTTTAACATAAGCTTAAAAGCCATATTTGGACTAACCGTACATTTTGGTACCCTTTTTTGGTAACTTCTATAAGGTATCGATGTCGGTTTAGCGATTTCCATCTGCTTTCAAATGTCCGTCTGTTTGTTGAAAAAAATCTTCCGAAATTAAGTCTTCAATACAGATAGAATTATGCTAAATCAGCTAAATCGGTCCATATATAACGGAGTAGTGTCCAAATACCCGCTTTGTTTTCATTCTTGATTAGTTTTTTTCGGGAACTATAGCAACTATGTAAATATATCAACAAATTTCGTCATAAAACTTTTTTACCATCCAGAGATTAACTTGGTTGAAAATGATTATAATTGATTCAAAATTTCATATAGTCCCCATACAAAGATACATACTCCAGTGTAAATTGGATTTATTGTTAATAACTCCCTCTAGAATATAAGGGAGTTCGTTCAGAATAAAATCAGAAGGTCCGGTTGTATTGGGCCTAGGTGAAATAATGAATCGATTTAAACTATATTTAATGGGCTTCTAAATTTCATCAAATTATATGGAAAATTGCCACCTGTAGTTTGGCATGGAAGGACGGACATCGCTTAATCGATTCAGAAAATAACTTTGAATCGATTAGCATAATATTTCTATGCTTTACAAACATCAAACACGATCTCACATAGATTCATAGGATTTATTGTGATTTTCAAGCAAAATTGATACGGAATTTATATTTCTCTCTTCAAAATAATTAAGTTAAATGGTTAAATGTATTATAATTTTTAACAGTTTAAATAAAAAAACTTTATTATGTAAACATAAAAAATAAATGTACAAACATATATCCAGTTATCAAATAAACCAAATTATAAAAAAAACAAAATTCCTGTGCCATTTGTATGATGTATATAAAATTTAGAAGATTCAAATATATAGTCGTAAATATATATTTCTAAATTCCTAAACAGACTTTTTGTGAATTATTTTTTTAATACAATTATATAACACAACTCTACAAATTAGCTTTCTTCACGAAATCAATAAAATCGTTGTAGAGTACTTTGGGCACTTCCATGGCAGCAAAGTGTCCACCTTCTAAATGATAAGTACTTTGGACTAAATTTAAAAATTTATCCTTAAGTTGACAATCGGTTGAATGCCATAAATCATGTAGGAAACGGGCACAGGCAGTTGGTACCGTTACACCAACACGATCCATTTGTAAGCTCATTTGTTCTTTGTTAAATTGTTCGGCATAGAGGCGTTGTGATGTAGTGATGGAATTGGTGATATAGTAGATCATGACATTATCGAGCAAAGCATCCATTGTATAACGTTTTGTGAGACCACCATCTGGCAAGTGTTTGTATTCGCCATTTGTCCAGGTGGAGAATTTTTCAAGTATATAAGCTGCCAAACCTACGGGATTGTGAGCCAAAGCTGTGCCTATGGTGTCGGGCTTAGTGGCTTGCAAGTGCATGTAGCCCATTTCCTCCATAGTGTTGGCAAAGAACTCCGATAAAGGTTTAAAGAAGGCGCTATATTGTTTTTCATAAAAAAGGCTGGGCATGAAGTTGGCAAGCACCATTTTTAGCATACCGATGGGACCCAAGTTACCACACATATTGGAATGATAACCCAAAACATTTTCCGGGAACAAAGCTGCCATATTGGAACCTACAATGGAACCCCAATCGCCACCTTGTACAATGAATTTCTCATGACCCAAACGCAACATTAAGTTGCGCAAAACTATGGACATTTGGGCGGGACCAAAGTATTTCTTGGAGGCACCCTGCGTTAAAAAAAAGAAATTAATCAATAAAATGTTTCATTTTATAGTAAGATTTATTTACCTGAGACCAACCATAACCGGGCAAACTTGGAGCAACAACTTCAAATACATAATCGCTCTTTTCGTTTGGTGTAGTCAATAAAGGAATGATATCGTAAAATTCGCGTACAGAGCCGGGCCAGCCGTGCAACAATATCAATGGTAAAACTTTTTTACCTTCAGTTTTCTTTGGTTTGACATGGATGAAGTGAAGATTTAGACTGCAATTTAAATTAATTAAGTAATTAATTAGTTATCAATATAAACATATAAAACTATATACAAATGTTTATAAAAATTAACTATGGATTTTTTATAACAGTATATTTATAGGTTAAAAAGCTTAACACTTTTTCATGCAAAAATAGATTAGATATTAAATTTTAACAAGTTAATTGCTTTAATTAAATATTAATTGCTTTATACAGATGTTGGTAATTGGGACGTA